CACCTCCTCCAGGAAGCCTTCCCTGCTGCTCAGAGGTCTTACATCTAGGCTCTGAATTCAAAAACTGTGCAACCCACACCAGCTTCCGAGGGACAGCAGAATACTGTGGGGGGCCTGGCACTGTCCCTGGCACACAGTAGGTACTCATTGAGCCCCTGCCAGCCCCTCTGCTCCTGGCTTCTGAGGCAACAGGAAATGATCAGCCAACTTGTTTTCATGGGGGAGCCTCCCTGCCACCCCAGATAATCACAAGGACCTCCTGGGATGCTGCCCACCTTGGCAGCCAGGCCCTTCTGGAGGGGCCAGTCTGGGCCTGACACCCCTGACCAACCCCCTTGGCAGAGCCTGCCCGTGCCTGGGTGAGGAACCCTGCATTCTCCTTGCCACCCATGGCCTGGGGCTGCCCTGGGGATCGAGGCTCCACCCTATCCAACTCCCAGGCCCACTGCTACCCCTCAATGCCTGACCTGTGCCCACCTGACTCAACCTGGCTACTGTTCAGCAAGTTTACCAAGTGTTCTCAGTCTGAACAGGAACCGTTTTCAATCCTTCATTTCAGAAAGGAGAGCCAGAACTGGGGACTTAGAAAACAGATTCTAAACTCAGAAGTCCCCGGCCCAGGCGTGCAGAGCCAGGGTCTGCGGGTTTTGTGCTGGGCAGGGGCTGCCCTGGGAGGGTCAGAGAGGGGGAGTCACTTTAGGACACCCCTTAGGCTGTGGAGGGTGTCAGCTGGGCCTTTGAAGCCACTAACCTCTGCTTCCAATCCTGGACAGTCCTGAGTGGAGGACCCAAGGGGGTTTCTTCCTGGAAGGGCCCCCACCCCAAGTGTCAGAGAAGCCGGCAGGAGCTGAGGGAGGGAGGTGCTGTAACAGCAGCCACAGCCTCCAGGGACCCAGGCAGGCCCAGCTTCCCGCCTGGCACTGAGCATGCCATCTGCTTTAGGCCCCAGCTGGCCGGCAGGTGGGCAGCTTGCTCCCTCAGCGCAGGGGCCGGGGGCACAGATGTAGGCCCAACACTCCAAACTCAAAACCCCACGAGAGGCCTCAGTCTTGTGGGAAATGCTTCCAGCCGAACCCCTCTGCCCCAACGCGCTCTTCATCTGCCTATTGAAGAAACTTCTGGAAATAGCAGAGACTTGAGAGACCGCTTCCTGGGGTGTGTGTATTTGTATTTCTCTGTTTGGGCGTTTGTGTGTCCCAGTAGGACCGACGTCCCCAGGGAGATGAGGCAGGTGGGCTGGAGGCCTGGCAGGCGCCATTACTTCTTCACGATCTGGATGACGTCCTCATGCTCCATGGTGTGGGTCAGGCCCACCCGCTGCGGACTGTACTTGGTGCTGGTGCCCTGGGTGAGGAATGGGGACACAGGGGTCACCTCAGCCTGGACTGGCCAAGGGCAAGGCCAAGAAAGATATCCCCAGGGTGTGTGTCCTGGGGGTGAATGCTGGCGTAAGGTGGGGGCCCCAGGCAGCAGGATGTCCGCAGTGGTTTGACCATCCCTGACCTCAAAGGTGGGGGAGGGCCAGGCACAGTGGCTAATGCCTGTAATCCCAGCACTTTTGGAGGCCAAGATGGGAGGATCATTTGAGCTCAAGGATCACTTGAGCTCAGGAGTTCCAGACCAGCCCGGGCCAGATAGCGAGATCCCGTCTCCACGAAAAATTAGCCAAGCATGCTGGTGTGCGCCTGTAGTCCCAGCTACTTGTGACACAGAGGTGGGAGGATCGCCGCTTGAGCACAGGAAGTCAAGGCTGCAGTGAGCCATGATTGTGCCACTGCACTCCAGCCTGGGAGACAGAGCCAGATCCTGTCTCAAAAAAAAAAGAAAAAAGAAAAGAAAAAGGGTGGGGAAGGCCCATGTCCAGCCTGGGTTGGCACGTACATTCTATGGAGGACAGACACACAGTCATGCCAATCCCCACAGGAAGGACAGGAACACCATGCAGAGGAATGTGAATGCCTTGCTCCATGACTAACCCGGGGGCTCTGCTGGGTCTAACCCCCTGCCTGCCTCCCACCCAGACACTTACCCACACCAGGGCATACTTGAACTGGCTGGCGATTGACTGGTGGGTGCGGTGGTACTGGAGGACAGGAGAGAGACAGATAGAGAGGTGAGGTTCTACCTAACCCCATCTCAAGCTCAGCTGCACACACAAAGCTCAGGACACATGCCAAGAGGCAGCAGTTCCTGCAGCAGGTGCCCAAACAGTCCGGGCCTGGTGTGGAGGATTGACACGTGCTCAATTCGCACACAGCCTGCCACTCACAGCGGCAAGTGCTCCTGCCATTCCCCCTCCTGGTCTGCCAGCTGTGGTGCCTGGTTAGGAATGTTCCCACAGACACCAGGGGAAGGTCCGGGGCCTGGCTGCCAGTGGCCTCTGCCTGCTTTGCCTGAAAGATGCTCCTTCAGAATAGGACAGGGTGACAGCTTGGAGTTCCCACTGCTTGGTCACCATCTCTCACTCCTCCTAGCCCCACCTGTGGCCTGAAGCCTCCCACACATCACATCACCCCAACTCCCAGGGCAGCGTACACCCTCCAGTGCTCCTTGGTTGGGATGAAGGTCACAGGGGTCCCAGATGTCACTTGAAACTGGAAGGAGACCCTGGAGGGGGCAGCCAGCATTTGCGCTGAGAGTGTGGACCTCTGGTTACCATGCTAACGGTGGTACAGTGGAGGGTGGCGAGGAGGGGACTCTGCAATTGTGCAATATGGTCCAGGCCCTGGTGGGAGACCAAATGCCTCAGCCCAGTGTCCCTGGGGCAGAGGCTGGCATCAAGCCTGCAGGAGTACTTCCCTGACATAGATGGGAAGGTGGCTGATTCTGGCCTGCAAATAGGTTTTACGTTTTACTCAGCTTGCCCCGCATTGCCACTTGTGAGTGACTCTGAAGGGATTCAGGAGGGTAATCATGAGTCTCCTTGGCTCCTCCTGCTGTGATCTCAAGCCTAGGCCCTGAGGGAGATGGGACTTTGCGTGGCCTCATTTGTTCAACACCTCCAGGGTGGCACTGAGAAACTTGGGGCTAAACTTGCAGAATGAATGAATGCATGAGACCAGGTTGCAGGCCCAGCCACCACTGTCCTAAGGGGCTGGAGGGACTTAGAAAAATTTGTTAAGAAGACGCAAAGCTTGAAAGACATTGACAGATGGAACATACCAGCCCCCAGATCACAAAGCCAACCATGCCCAGCACTTCCCAGCACCCCATCCAGCAACCAGTGTTCTGACCCTTGATGATCCCGGGAGCCTGCCTTTGTACTTTATACTCATGGAAGGATAGCCACCTTCATGTTTTAAAATAAATGTTGACTTTTGAAATGATTCGAGATAGACAGAAAAGTTGAACAGGGACTATAATGTACCCCTACACCTTCCATCCAGCTGCCCTTACTAATGACATTTGGCAGTACCATGGCACATCAGAAATTTAGGCTGGGTATGGTGGCTGACACCAGTAATCCCAGCAATTTCAGAGGTTGAGGCGGGAGGTTGAGGTTTACTTGAGTCTGGAAGTTTGAGACCAGCCCGGAAAACATAGGTAGACCCTGTCTCTAGAGAAAAGTAAAAGAAATTAACCAGGGATGGTGGAGTGTGCCTGTAGTCCCACCTAGTCAGGAGGCTGAGGCAGGAGGATTGCTGGAGCCCATGAGTTCCAGGAAGCACTCCAGCCTGGGTGACAGAGTGAGGCTTTATCTCTTAAATTAGGAAATTTAACATGGGTACAATACTATCAACTAAACAATGTGAATTATTATCTAAGGTTATTAATGCTGTAAGTATATTAATATGGTGAAACTTACTTGATTTCACCCATTTTTGCTTAACTTCTTGTACCTGTCCCAAGATCCCACCTTGGACTCACCCTCTGCCTTCAGCTCATGTCTCCTCAGCTTCCTCCAGATGGTCCCACCAAACATACACCTGGGCTGAATGGTAGAGCTGATTGCTCGTACACAAGGATAGACTTGTGTGCAGGGATTTTCAAACTTAAACAGTAAGTGAGTTTCCCATGGTGTTCTGAAGAGCACCCTTTGAGAAACACTTTGACAGTGAATCCAGGCCTCAGTCTACCTCAGCTGCTCTGGCTGAATTTTGTTCCAGCTCACTGAATACCTCTGCAGGGTGCATGTGAAAGGGGCAAGGGATGGGTGAGCTGCAGAGAAAGAAGACAAGACACAAGGGGTCTGTCTAAGCTATATCCTCTGCCTTCATCACTGACGGATAAAATCTGACTCTTAAGGAATCCTGGCCGCATGCTGGGCCAGCCTGGGGCTCAGAGGATCTGACAGTGAGAGACGCAGAGCCAGAGCATACACCTCAGTCTGCCCTCCCAACGCCCTGCAAAGCACGCATCAATCAATGTCATTGTTAATGCACAGAGGAACCTGAGGGTTAGACAAGGTGATGGATTTTCCAGGGTCATACGGCGTCTGGGAGATGGATGTGATCCTGAGGACAGGGCACAGGCCAGTGTGATGCTGCGATGGGATGAGCTGTGATCTGTACCGCGTAGAGGCCTCAGTCAAGGCAGGACTGATTAATGAGCAGGTCATCCAGGTGACTGAAAACACTGTTGGATTTTCCTCACCTGCTGGCTCCCAGGAGTCTGGAACTGCCAGGGGACTGGTGGCAGGTCCCTCATCCTTAGCTGGGTGGGCCTGGGTAGAACAGCAAGATGAGGGTACATTTCCCCAGCCATTCTCTCCAGACAGCTGTGACCTGCTCATTACAATTTTGTGGAAATGTTTCCACACACACAGCATTGCAAATAGCAGTGGGCGTGGTGAGAGGCGTTTGGACATGGGATAGGCAGTACTGTGGAGGGAAAGCGTCCAGGGCTTGCTGATGTGTTAGCTGCAAGGTGTGATTGGGCAAGGAGAGTTGAGGATGATGTGTTCAAATCAGTTCATTCACCTCCTCTGTGCCACACCTGTGCTGGGCACTGGGAGAGACAGATAAGCACAGGAGCCCGGCCTGGGGGAGGTGTGGCACAGAGTGTCTGGGCAGGGTAGGGAGGGCCCTACTGGAAGCTGAGGGCTGATGCCCACCTGGGTGCCATACAGGTTCTCTGCATGGACAAGTACAGGCTGAGCTTCCTGGAGGAGGAGCAGCTGCTGTAGGTGGTGACCAGCACGTTTGGGAATGGAGGCTGTTCGGGGACGGAGAGGTGGAGGCCTGAGGTCTGGGTGGGCTAGAGGGTGGTAGGGCACAGAAGAACCCAGGAAAGGGCCTGGGAGATGCAGCACATTCTACGGAGGGCATTTGGGAGGCAGTGCTCAGGCCACCCTGGGTCACTCAGGTCATTCGCCAGCCTCTGTCATAATTATTGCCATATGGGAATGCCACCTTTTGTATGATGTATTTGATATATTTTTGTGAATGGCCTACCTGTTTGTGTTTACAAATTCATGTTTAAAGGAAACTTGTATCACTCTCACAAATGGAAAGCCAGCAAAACATAAATTCAATGAAAACAAAATGAAGTTAATGAGTTTTAGCTAGATACTATTTTCCAACCAAGGCCTTCTCTAGCTTTGTTTTTTAGAAAGAATAATAGGCAATGAAAGAGGTATTAAAGATCTACTAAAACCAAGTCAAGTCTGTCTCTCCAGTGCTCAGAAGAGTGAAAATGTAATTGAAAATAACTAAAAAATAAATTATGAAAAGGGAGTAAATACCACGGGATTTGATGCTAGTTCTGGGGTCACATACCTTCTGGAATTATCTTGGGTTCCTGGAAAGCCAGGCTTATTTTAGAGACGATACGACCAATTGTTGTTGCTTCTACAGGTTCCAAACAAGAATCATGGCTCATTAGGAGACCTCTGCAGATACCCTGCTATAAGGCAGGCCCCCTCTGCCAGGGCTGGATGGGTGGGGGCCAGGCTGTTCTGGGTCCCCAGTAAGGGGCAGGGCCCACACGAGTTGCTACAGTTTAGCTGGGGTGAGAGACAAAGTAATTTGTCAGCTGACAAACAGGCCTTGGCCAGGTGGCCCCATACGTAAACCAACTTCCATTGTGTGCCGGGAGCCATCTTCTGCCAGCTATAGTCAGTTTTACAGAAGAAGGAAAAAGCAGTGTTTTTTTTTTTTTTTTTTTTTTTTTTTTTTTTTTAATCCTGGCTTGAGAGCTCTGTTTTTCCCTCTCTAGAAACTGAAGAAATGTCGCTTCTTGCTGAAAGCTCTCACTGACAAATTCAGGTAAAGATTTTTCCCTCCTCCCACTCCACCCAGCCCTGCCCTGTGGACGCCAAGTCTGGGTTCAGGTGATGGAACTGGGTTAGCACAGGGGGTCTTCTCAGAGCTGACCAGGCACAGAGGGACTCTGGGTCAGAGGTTTGTCCTCAGAATGTGTCGAGGGTCACGCCACGGAAACCAAGTTCCTCTCACAAGTCTGCAGGCCAAGCATGGGGTGGTCATGGGAGTTGGTGACAAGGCTGGGGGTTGGGAGGACCACAAGGGGGTCCAGCTCCATGCTCCGTGCTCCAGCTGGAAGGGGAGGCTCTGAGGCCAGCCCTCCAGGCTGTCGGTGCTGGGTGCTGGGTGCCAAGTGCTGCTCATATGGGACATGTGAGTCTCTGTGTGTATCCTCGGGCAGGTATGCCGCGTTCGGCCTCGGCTCCAGCAAGTACCCTCAGTTCTGAGCCTTTGCTCATGACCTCAACCAGAAGCTGTTTCACCTGGGAGCCTCTCAGCTCACCCCAATGGGGGAAGAGGATGAGCTCAGTGGGCAGGAGGATGCCTTCTGCAGCTGAGCCATGCAAACCTTCAAGGTCAGTTCCTAGCCAGAGCTGCCCCACAGCAGAGACATGACAGGGTGCGTTCATGCCTAGGACATCTGTGATGGGGGTCCTGGGTGGCGTGACCTCTGCCCTGGTCCTGTAGATGCGGTCCCAGGCATGGGCCAGGGCCAGGAGCCTGAGGGCTCAGGTCACTGCTGCTCTCCCTCAGCCCCCCAGAAGAGCTCCACCCTGTGTAGATGACTGTGGGGGGTGAAGGTGGCGCAGATACCCCCCTGCCCTTAGGAATCTTCTAGTTTAAGATCTTTCCCCCACTGACTAACTAGGTTGCCTCTAAAC